ATCACATGTTTGTGAAGATTTCTTTTGGCAACAACATCCAATAATATTCATGGCTCCATTACTACCATGAAGAAACATGAGGATATTAATAAACTGTTAGTGTATTCCCTGAAGGAGAAAATGATGAAATGAGTTGAACTTCAGCACGTTTCCATGTCTAAGTTTTATGCCCACAATGAAGTCCATGACTCTGGGTGATTTAGATCAATCTTTTCAGTCAGCCACAAACAGCATATCCATTTAGATTTTCTTCATCCATGATACATGACACCATCATAAATGTACCCAAGCAATTAAGATGTAAAGAAACTCATCAACTGGAGAGGGTCCCTTAGATGTTTGACAAAGAAAGTCAAATACATGACTCCACCTACATCCCTTAGATGTTTGACACATGAAAGTTAAACACATGACTCCACCTACATACCAGGAGAAAGCCATAGAGTGAAGTGATTTAGGGCTGAATTATATTCATCAGGTCTCTTCACAATATCTCAAGTATGGTTGATAAAAAAAGGACAGAGAAAATAACTATACAGGACCCCAAACCATCGTCTTGAACTCTTATTTATTTTTTTAAAGATTGATTTTATTTATTTATGCATACAAGAACAAAGGGGTAGGCCAGAAGTGTACAGGGTGAGAGGATTCCCCAAAGACAGAGTGCAGAGCAGAACAAGCAGATTGACTGAAACACACTGCTGAGGGGAGCAGCAGATAAGTCTGGAGAGGTCTGCTGTTTCATGTGGTCAGCTCCCTGGCCAGGAACCAAACGATAGCTTCATAGTGCTGTGACTTAACCCTCTGAACCACCAGGAAGGCCCTCAGACTTTTCAGTTATGCTAATATTTAGTGTTTTAATGTCGGCTTATGCTCCATAACAATTATCTGACTTAAGGAATGTAAAGTGTTTCTCACTTCCTACTGTACTGCAATATCTTAATATGAATCTAAATTGCATTATAAATTACTTAATCATATTTTCACTTCTTTCAAGTTTCCAGTATGAAAATCTGGTGGCTTCAAAATTCATATTTGGACAAACCACTCATCACTTTCCATTTACAGTTTCTCTTGGTTTGCACTCTCTGATGATTAGGATGATCTGACTTCTGGTTAATCACTTTGACACTTCTGGTTAAACTTCTGGACTTCTGGTTAAAGACACCAAAGTTGGGACCTCACTGGTGGCACAAGGGGTTAAGACACAACCTATATAGCTATATGCAGCCACTGCAGTACGAGTTGGATTCCAGGTCAGGGAGCTACCCACATGGTGCAGCAGACCCCTCCTGTCTCGCCTGCTGCTCCCCTCAGCAGTGTATTTCAGTCAATCCGCCTGTTCTGTTCCCCACCCTGCCTCTGATGAATCTTCTCACACACACCCCACCTCTGGCAGATACCCCAGTTCTTGTATGCATAATAAAATAAATCTTGAAAAAAAGAGGCTAAAGTAAAAAAAAATTGACTTCACAATTTTAACATTTCTCTCTGATGTGAATTCTCTAATGTAGAGTAACACTTGACTTGCGGTGAAAGGCTTTGCCACCATCTTCACATTTGTAAAGTTTCTCCCCAGTATGAATTCTGTGATGTTGACTTAAATGTGATGAATGGTAGAAGGCTTTGCCTACATTCTTCACATCTGGAAGGTTTCTCCCCTGTATGAATTCTATGTTGTCGAGTAAGACATGACTTATTGTTAAAGGCTTTGCCACATCCTTCACAATTGTAAGGTTTCCCCTCAGTATGAATTCTGTGATGCTAAGATAGTTAAAGGCTGACAGTTGGTTAAAGGCTTTCCCACATTCCTCACATCTGTAAGGTTTCTCCCCAGTATGAACTCTCCAATGTCGGGAAAGGTGACACAGCACAGGAAGGTGTTACCATAATCAGGACGCGTGTAGGCTTTTCTCCAGCATGAATCCTTAGATGGTTAGTCAGCTGTGGATGCCAATACAAGGCTTTACCATGCTCTTCACACTTGTGAGGTTTCTCTCTGTGATGTTCAGTAAGTCTTGGGCACCATTTGTTAGCTTTGCCATATCCTTTACAATTGTAGAGTTTCTCATGAAGTACATGATGCTGGAAAAGTATTGAGGACTTTTCAATAGGATCCTGTGTAGATTTTTCATCTTCCTTTATAATTCTCTGATGTTGAGAATGACATGACTGAAAGTTTAAATCTATCCCACATTGACAGTGTTTTGAATAATCATTTGCATTATGGACTAGGGGACTTCCCATATGTTCCAACATTCTTCTCAGAGATTGTGTCCTGTTAAAAATGTCACATGGATCTTTGCTAACAGAAACATATTTATCTCTACCTGCAACAGACATAAAATGGAGTTTTACCCAGCATGGTTTACACGCAGAATCCCTTTGTACAGGAGGAATTGTGTTATGGATAATTGTCCCATATTGGGAATCTTCATTGCAACAACTGTTGTGCCCTTCACATGTCTCTTGACATGTCTGGTCTATCAATAATTGTAAATTCTCAAAGGTGCCAATTCATCTCCTCCCGGGCCCACATTTAGCAACAAATCTTCTGTGCCTGACTGTGGCATGGAGACCTGGTTGTCTTGAGAAGACAGGGCAGGAAGACAACAAGGAAAAACTACCCCACACACAGCACTCAAGACAAAATACTTTAAATATTTAAGACATAAAATTAATACCATATAAAGACCCCCGACATGATATTTGGATAGGTAACATCAGCACTAAACAGCAACACACATGCTTATGAATAGGTAATGTCCTTAGGGAAAGGTAAATACATAGCAAATACTGATATAACCCTATAGTAAAAATATTGTTTCTGCTTCAGAATTTGGAAATATGGCACACACAAAAAAAATCATAGATTCATGTTATAGAATACAAATATCATGAGATATAATTTGTGATGTCAGTAGGGGTAGAAATGTTAAAGAGTGGAGTTTTGGTATGCAGCTGAATTTACATGGTTTTCACTTTAGAAAAGACTGTCATAACTATTCAACATGCTATGGAATGCCCATGAGAAAAAAAGATACCGTAAAATACATGGAAAAGAAATGAAATCAGAGACTGATGTTATGTGTACATAGGTTGGATGACAATGCTTTACAATGTCTGTAAATAATATTACAAACCAATATACTTCCATTAACATCAAAATGTGTGAAAGTGGAGGGAAATCACCAACAAGAAAGGAGAGAGGAATTAAAGCATATAAGAAAAGGTCAAAAAATATACAGTAATGCAGGAGGTTGGAAATGGGGTATAAAATGGCTGAGAATACTGCATCCGCAGTGGCGCAGCAGTTGAGTGCTGGGACACGATGCTGCCCGTAGCCTCTGCAGCGCTGGTTAGATCTCTGGCCACCAGCGAGGGTCCTACATGTTGTGCAGTCCTCTCATGCTGCCCACTGCTCCCCTCAGCAGTGTACTTTGTCAGTCTGCTTGTTCTGTTCTCCGCTCTGGTTCTGGTGAATTCTCTCACCCCCACCCCGCGCCGTGCTTCGGACTGCACCCCGTGCTTGCATAAATAATAAATAAATCTTACAAAAATTAAAAAAAAATAAATGACTGAGAATAGAGGAACCATTCTCTAATAAAGTTAACGCCTCCCTTTCAGTAATACTTTGGTTTAAATAAAAGTCCACAATACAATGGCAAATGTGTCTGAATGAATTAAAAATAACACCAATTCAATCTTACCTATATGACACTCAACATAGCCTTCAGCTCACTATGTGGAATGTAAGGATGGAACTAGATTCTATGAAGACTAATCATGAAAATGGAGCCATGTGGATCACTCTAATGATATGATCTGAGTCTAAAGCATCACAGAATGAAAAGAATGACCCCAGAAAATAACAGAAAACTACCTGTATTGAGAAGTCATTGTAATATTACCTATACACTAAGATGAGGTCCTGAATATGTGCCACAAACAAAGACAGAACTCAATGCAGAAGATGAAAACAATAAAATCAAGGAGAGGTTCAAGGCCCAATTGCAATTGGAAGGAAAATAATGTTATAAATTCAGGAATCATAGTTCACAAACGGGTGAAAAATAATTTGAAAAGAAAGATGTGGTATATAGACAGGATGAAATACTACTGAGCTATGAAAAATGATACATCTGGCCATGTGCAACAACAACAATGGAATGCTGGGGAGGATTATGCTCAGTGAAAAGAAGCAGAAGGAGAAAGACTTACTGGATGAATTCACTCCTATTTGGACTTTGGAAAAACAAGGCAAAGAAACTGACATTACAAACCAAAGTAAACTCTAGAAATAGGACTGCAGAATGAGGGTACAAAGAGGGAAGGATAGTGGGTGTGAGTACAAAAGTGGCAGGGGATTCAAAGATTTATGGAGAAGCCCACAATGCACTGGTGGTGGGTATGGGGGTGACAGACATCTGAGGATATGAGAATCTATTCCCTGAATCACGAAGAGTGAGGTAAACCCATGGTTCCTCGATTCCAAAAAACTAAGCAATACTGAGAAAACAATGCAACAAAGCAAACTCCCCAAAACTTTTCATTCAGAAAACAATACTAAGAGGTAAATTTAAAACATTAAACAATTACACTAGCAATAAGAGAGATCTCAGTTGAGCAATGTAACTTCACACCTCCAGGAATTAGAAAAAGAACAATTTTAGCTCCATATTGGCAGAAAGGAGGACATTGAAAAAAAAATAAGAAATACATAAATAGAACATTATGGCCAAAAAGCAGGTGCTTCTCTATGAAAGGAAGTCTGGATTTTGAAAGATCAACAAAATGGACAAAACCTAAGTTCAATTCAGTAAGAAGGAAAGACAGAGGACTCAAGTGTCAGAGAGGAGATGCCCCCAGGGAGAGCAAGACTAAGACTTCTCTTCACATCCCAGGGCTCCATTTTTTTTTTGCTCTAACAAGATGACCAGCTCGGGCGTAGACACAGCAAGACCTGTTTATTAGGACAGGTAATATGAGATGGCCTGAAGATACTCAAATTCCCAATACAGTAGTGTGTTCAGTAGAGGGGACAGTATAGAAGGTTCTGGAAAAGGATCACTGCAAATACTTTTTCTGACAGCACCTTTACCAGAAATCATTGAAATTTTCATATCCTAAGAACCATTTCTACACCTCTGAGTCCTAGCAATGTGATAGAGAAGCTGGGATTTTGCTTGTAGCAATAACGCTTAAGTCACATATTTTCTTGAATGAGCACTCATACAGTGAGCAGGTTGCAGATCATCCTAAGATAGGAGAAATTTAAGCCATGATGAAACATCATGAGACTTTCCAACAAACCCACACTGTTTTTCTTTAAAATAGGGACCTAAAAGTATCCGACAATCTTGGGCATCCCTAGAGCACATCCACACGTGGTACAGGAAACACTGAGGGCAGATGGGGAAATCTAGAGGGATATTCTCCTCACCCAAGGACACCACATTTCTGTATGTCTCTAGCACCACGTCCCTGTACAATTTCCACTGTAGCTGGTCCAGGCCCTCCTGCTCCTTGTGTGAGAATTCGATGGCCACATCTCTGAAGGTCAAGGGTTCCTGAAATCAAATTAAACAGTTACTACATGGCCACCAGCAGAACTCTAAATAGGACACAAGGTGAAAAGAGATTTGTGAGGGGCCCCATGGTGGCACAAGTGGTTCAGTCTCAGCACTATGAAGCTATGACAACCACTTAAGGACAAGTTTGATCCCTGGCCAGGGAACTGACTCACATGGCGCAGCAGACCTTTCCTGTCTTGTCCGCTGCTCCCCTCAGCAGTTTATTTCGGTAGCTCTGCCTGTTCTTCTCCCCACTCTGTCTCTGGTGAATCCTCTCACCCCCCCGAACCCTCACCTTTGGCCCATACCTCACCAATTTATGTATAAGTAAATAAAATAAATCTGTAAAAAAAAATGGGGAGACCTGGTTCTGAGAAAGAAGAATGCCCTTATGCAGTGACATCCATGTTTACACAGCAACAGTCTAATGCACACACTGAGCCCAGAGGATCACATATGCCCACGAAACCACCGTGGACCGTGACGTCAAATCTGACCCAGGGCACATATCTGTACAACAAGGAGGCAGGACAATTGGAAAACTCATAGCAGAAACGGAGATGAAAGACTGAAAGGAAATTGTAGGTAATGATCAAATACTAAGCAAAGCGACAACAACAAAAATGATCATTTTTAAAGATTTTTTTTTTATTTATGCATACAACAACTGGGGTATAGGTCAGAGGTGCGGGAGGTAAGAGGAGTCACCAGAGAGACAAAGTGGAGCGCAGAACAGGCAGACTGACCAAAGTACACTGCTGAGGGGAGTAGCGGACGAGACAGAAGAGGTCTGCTGTGTCATGTGGGCAGCCTCCTGGCCTGCCAGGGATCGAACTCGTGCTGCAGAGGCTGAGGACAGCTTCACAGTGCTGTGCTTAGCCTTTGCCCCACCAGGGAGACCCCGTTCCCACAGCACTCATTAGACTCATGTATGAACCAGATATAATTCTCTGAGCTTTTAATATACTTTATCTTTTATGTGACCATTTCCTCAAACACCCACGATATTACAGACCAGGGTTTTCCCTACAGATCTGAGCTAAAATGAATCAGAGAGGACCCTAAATGAATGAGCACAGCAGGTTTTATAGCCAACAAGTATGGTTTGGTTGAAAATGGGAAAGACACAGGACACAGTATATAATGTTATGTTTCAATTAATAAAAATGGGACCATATACACACTACATGGATGAATGTAGTCTTGTCAACGAATTCAAGATTATTCAAATACTATGAAGGAAACCGAGCTGTGGGTGATACTGTGTGCATACTTCAAAACCACTATGTAGACATACAATGTGGAATCCATTATAATAAAAGCTACTGTTTTTGAGTGTAATTTCTCAAAAAATGTTACATTATATAGGTTCAACTATTTTAAAATTTTACTACAATTCAATACATGGTAACATTTTTGGTTCATTTCTCTGGAAGTATAAACAAGCTATGAGAGAGAACGTGTGTGAAATGACTGGCATTTCCATTGACATTCACACCAAAAGGAATGAAATAACTGTGACTGTATCATTCAAGTGAAAGCAGGAGGTGAGGGACCTGAACCCTGAAAATTAAAAAACTCTATTAAAGGAAATAAAAGACACAGAGAAATACAAAGATGTCCCATCCTCCTAGGTGGGGAGAATTAACATCATAAATGGCCTTATTGTCTAGAGCAATTTACAAACTTATGCAATACCTACCAAATACCAAGGACGTTTTTTATAAGGAAATAGAACAATCCCCACATTTATATGAACCCACAGAAGGTCCCAAATAGCAAAAACAATCTTGGGAGAAAAGAAGAAAATGTAAGTATCATATTTCCTGACATTATTTTACTGGAACAAAACCAGAACTCAGAGCAATGGAAGGCAACTAAAAACCCAGAGAGCAAATGATATAAATATGAAGAGTTCAATCTTGGACAAAGGAGCTAAAATCATACAATTCAGACAAGACAGCCTCTTTAATAAATAATACTGGGATGGGCCCCCTGGCGGCCTAGGGGTTAAGAGTCAGTGCTATCACCGCTATTCCAGGCCAGAGAGCTGACCCACAATTGGCACAGCCGACCTCACCTGTCCCTCTCACTGATTCCCTGAGCAGTGTATTTCAGTGGATCTGCCTGTTCTGCTCCGTGTTTCTGGCAAATCTTCTCAAACCCTGAACATCTGGTCTACACCCCAGTTCTTCTATGCATGAATAAATAAATACATATTTTAAAAAAAATGGTGCAGGGAAACATGAATAATGACTTGCAAAAAATAAGAACCAAGACCCATTCAAAACTCCATACAGGGCCTCCCTGGTGGCACAACATATGAAGTTATCCATAGCCACTGCTGCATGAGTTTGATCCCCACGTAGTGAGCTACCCATATGGTGCAGCAGACCTCTCCTGACTCGCCCGCTGCTCCCATCACCAGTGTATTTCAGTTAGTATGCCTGTTCTGTTCCTCACTCTGTCCCTGGTTGTGATACATATTGAATCCTCTCACCCCCCACACCTCCGGCCTGTACCCCAGTTCTTGTATGCATAAATAAATAAATCTTTAAAAGAAAAACTTCATACAGAAAACTAATTCCAAATGGATTAAAAGTTTGGACACCCTAAGAGCCCAAATCATGAAGCACTGAAAGAAAATAAAAGGGTACACTACGGGACAGTTGCTGCAAAATGTACAAGGGAACACAACCCCAACACCAAGGGAAACAAAACCAAGTTTCACAAGTGGGACAACACCAAATCTAAAAGCTTTTAGAACTCAAAAGAAACCAGCACAGAAACAGAAATGCATCCTATAGAATAGAACACATGCAACACATCTGACAAGGGGTTCTTTCCAAAATTTGTAATGTTCCCACCCAGTGCGAAAAACCAACCAATGAGTCAATTGAAAAGGGCAAAGGAAATAAACACTTTGCTAAAGAGGAAATTCTAAGGTCCAACAGACATAGGAATGTTCACCTTAATTTATTGTAAGAGAAATGTCAAAACCACACTGAGATGCCACCTCAACACTTGAGAATGGTCCAAATAAAAAAGAGTGAAATGAACAACGCTGGAGAGGGTTCAGAGAAAAGGGAGCTCTCACCCATGGCTGGTGGCCATGAGAGTTGGACAATCCCTGCAGATAATGGGGCAGAGATTTCTTAAAGAAATAAAAATGGAAATTTCATATGTCAGCAATACTTCTACAAGTTATTTATCCAGGGTCTCCCTGGTGGCGCAGGGGTTAACACGCAACCTATGATGCAATCCACAGCCACTGCAGTTCGATTCCTGGCTGGCCAGGGAGCAACCCACATGGCGGGACAGACCTCTCCTGTCTTGCCTACTGCTCCCCTCAACAGTGTACTTCGGTCTGTCTGTCTGTTCTGTTCCTCACTCCGTCTTTGGTGAATCCTCTCGCCCTCCTGTGCATCTGGACTGTACCCCAGTTCTTGAATAAATAAATAAATTTAAAAAAATAAATAAATAAAAATTTGAAAAAGAATGAATTAAATCTTTTGGAAAAAATCAATCGACTTTATTAAAACCTGCATTAGGTTCACATATAGTCTAAATATTTACATATCACTGTATGCTCCATATTGAAAATAAAAATGCAGGCATTTAAGAAGCATTCTTGTTCTTTTGAAGCCAGGATCCCTAAGTTGGTGGTCAACAGAGTCATTACTTAGCTACTGGGCATACACAAATTCTATGCCCACTACGGGACAGTCACCTGTTCTGTCATCATGTGTCTGTGAAGATTTCTTTTGGCAATGATATCAAATAATATTCATCTCTCTATTACTTCCATAAAGAAACATCACAATTTTAATAAACTGTGCATTTCCTCAAGGAGTCTGTCGTGATATGATTTGACATGTTCCTCTGTCTGACTTCGATGGCAACATTAAGGCCCAGAACTCTTCTTGGTGATTTAGATCAATGTTTTGAGTCAACCAGAAGCAGCATGTCCATTCATATGTTCCTGATACATGGCACATTACTGTCCTAAATTTACCTTGCAAGTTAGATATAAACAAATCCATGCACTAGGACAGCCTCTCAGATGTTTGAGGCAGCAAAAAAAAAAAATATATATATATCAAATGCCTGACTTCACATACACAAGGGGACAAAGCCAGAGAATGAACGGATTTAGAGCTGAATTATATTCATCACCTCTTCATAATATCTCAAGCATGACTGACAAAAAGTATGTTGAATGTAATTATACTGGTCCCCAACACATCGTCTTGGACATTTAAATGATACTAATACATACTTAGTACTTTAATGTTGGTTTATGCTCCATAAAAATATCTGATTTAAATATCAGTGAAGTTTTTGAATTATTATTGTACTGCAATTTTTAAATGTATATTTAGAGTTGATTATTCTATGACAACTTACTTTTCCATATCTTTACTTCTTCAAAGTATCATGCTAGCATGAAAATGGTGGTTGCAAAATATCTATTCGTACAAACCACTCATCACTTTACATTTGCAGGTTTCTCCCCAGTGTGCATTCTCTGATGTGCAGAGTGATTTGACTTCCGGTTAAACAGTTGGCCACATTCTTCACATTTTGAACATTTTACTCTTATATGAAATCTCTGATGTTGAGCAAGTTTTGCCTTCTGCTTAAAGGCTTTGCTGAATTCTTCACGTTTATAAGCTTTTTCTTTCACATTTGTATGAATTCAGTGATGATGAGTAAGACTTGACTGCTGGTTAAAGGCTTTCCCAAATTCTTTACATCTGTATGTTTTCTCAGCATTATGAACTCTCTGGTGTTCAGAAAGGTGACACCGATAGAGAAAGGCTTTACCACAGTGTGGACATGTGTAAGCCTTTTCTCCAGTATGAATCCTTACATGTTTAGTGAGCTGTGGATGCCAACAAAAGGCTTTACCACACTCTTCACATTTGTGCCATTTCTCTCCCTGATGTTGAGTGAGTTTTGAGCACCATTTGTTAGCATTGCCATATCCTTTCAGTTGCAGGGATTCTCCTGAAATGTGTGATGTTGGAGTAGTTTTGAGGACTTCTCAATATGATCCCAAGTAGATTTTTTTTATCTTCCCATTCGCATCTCTGATGTTGAGTACTATTTGACTCAAAGTATACACCTGTCCCATATTCACAAAGTACTGAATGATTATTGCATGATGGACTATGGGACTGCCTATATGTTCTAACTGTCCTCTCAGAGAATATGTATTATTAAAAATCTGATAGAGATCTCTGCTTACAGAAACACCCTTATCTATGCAGGGAACATACATAAAATGTGGCTTGACCCAAGACATTTCACACACATGATCTCTTCTTGTGGGAAGATTGTATTCTGGGTCATTGTTCCAGCTTGGCTATGTTCATTGCAACAAATGTTCTGCCCTTCAATTGATCTTTGGCGTGTCTGTTCTTCCACTAATTGTAAATTCTCAAAGGCACAGATTCCATCTCTTCCCAGTTCCATATCCGGAAGCAAATCTGTGCCTGACTATGGCATGAGGATGACTATGACTATGTCATGAGAAGAGATGACTGGAAGAAAGCAAGTGACTATTTACCACATTTACAGCACTCAAGACAAAATACATTAAATGCATAGTCTATTAAATTAATATCAAGTAAAGGACATAGGCATGATGTTAGAATAGGTAACACTATGACTTTGCTCTTCCTATAAAGCCAAAAGGATTCTAGACAGCAACACAAAAGTTTATGAAAAGGTAATGTCCTTAGGGAAATGTAAATACAAAGAAAATACAGAAAATTGCATGATATAGTCCTGTAGTAAAAATATTGATTCTGCTTGAGCATTTGGAAAGGCCACATCAAAAATACCCATGGAATTATGCTCTGGAATACACGATGTAGTGAGATGTTGTGATGGCAACAATGTTGGTGTAGGGTAGGAATGTTAAAGAGTTGAGTTTCGTGTGTGCAATTCAAATTACGTTCTTTTCAGTCTAAAAGGTTTCATAGCTTTTCAATATGGCACGTAATGCACATTATAACAATAAAGATACCAGGAGAACACATGGGAGGGAAATGAACACAGAGCATGATGTCCTGTGCACACAGGCTAGATGACAATACTGTACACAATAAATAGTATTATGAATCAATATACCTCACTAAGCATAAAAAATATGATGACATATTAGACAAAAATCACCACACAAAAAAGGAGAAACGAATAAAAGCATGTCACAGAAAGTCAAAGAAACACAGAGAAGCAATCGAGAGGAAAAGAGGTATGAAAAAGGCTGATCATAAAGGAAACATTTTTAAATAACAATACCTGAGTCTCCCTTTCTGTAATTAGTTTGTTCATAAATGAAAAAAAAAATTCCACACTGAAATGACAATGTGTCTGAATGAATAAGAAAACGACACCAATACAATCTTATCCATATCACACCCACCAAAGATTTAAGTGCACCATGAGGAATGGAAGATGGAACTATATGCTGGGAAAAGTGATAATCAAATATGGAGCTGTGTTGAACACACTAATATCAGAAGAATATAAAATGAGTCAAAACCATCATAGAATGTAAAGAAGATCACAACAACAGAAAATGACATATTTTGGGTAGTCATTAAAAATATTCCACATGCACTAACATGAGGTCACTGAATGTGTGCAGACCACACAGGCAGGACTGAATGCAGAAGAGGAAGACAATACAATTCTAGGAGAGGTTCCAGCCCCAACTGTGATTAGAAGGAAAATAATAATGTAAGTTCAAGAAGGTGAGTTGACCACTAGGGCCAAATTTAAATCTGAAAGCAAGATGCAGTTCACATACACAATAGAGTGGAGACAGCTAAGTTATAAAAAGGATGAACTCAGGCTATTTTCAACAACAGGAAGGAACACAGCAGGAGCCCAGCTAATGTAGAAAATCAGGAGAGAGACATTTGCTGGATCGCTTCACTCCAATTTCAAATCTGGAGGAAAAAAGAAAGGAACCGACAAACCAGAACAAACTCTAGAAATATGACTGCAGAATTGTGGGTATTACAGAGTGAAGGAGAGTGGGTGTGGGTACAGAGGTGGGAGGGTGTTCAAAGATCTATGGAGAAAGCCCACGAGTGCACTGGTGGTGAGTGTGGTGGTGGCAGACCTCTGAGAAGATGAAACTCTATTCCCTAAATCAAATGTTACCTCAATTCAAAAAATTAAATAATATATTTAAAATATGGAGATGACAACATCATAAAGGCCATCTATGACAAGCCAACAGCCAGTATCATTCTCAATGGTGAAAAGCTGAAAGCAATTCCATTAATATCTGGAACAAGACAAGGATGTCCACTCTCACCACTGCTTTTCAATAGAATACTGGAAGTCCTAGCCAGAGCAATAAGACAAGAGAAAGACATCCAAGGAATCCAAATAGGAAAAGAAGAAGTGAAACTATCACTATTTGCAGATGATATGATAATATACGTAGAGAACCCCAAAAACTCCACAGAAAAACTAATTCAACTAATCAATCAGTTCAGTAAAGTGGCAGGATACAAAATCAACACGCAAAAGTCAGTAGCCTTCCTATACACAAACAATAAATCTGAAGAAGAAGAAATCAAAAAAAAAAACATCCCTTTTATTATTGAAACAAAAATAATCAAATATTTGGGAATAAATCTAACAAAAGAGGTGCCGGCCAGTCCCAGCAACACAGTGTCCCAATGCATACGACAAATTAGAAAACAGACAGTAGGGAGTAGAAGAACCACACGCAACCTAACAAGCCCTTAGGAAAAAAGCACACCACAAAAAGAAAACCACCCCCCAGATTGCAACGACAGTAACTTGGAAGATCTTCTGAGCCTTCCAGAAAGATAATTTGAAATTGCCGTGATTAAAAAAATGACAGAACTCATAAAGGAAAACAATGATCAGAAGATGGAAACTGAGTCCCTAAAGAGGGAAAACAATGGTCAGAAGAATGAAATTGAGTCCCTAAAGAGGGAAGCAAAAGAAACGCAGGAGATCAAATAATTAATGGAGGAACTAAAGAACTCTGGGAAAAGCAATGAAAGCAGAATAGATGAAATGGAAGAACGAATAAGTACTCTTGAAGAAACAGAAATAAAAAGAACCAAAACAGAAAAGGAAAGCGGAGTACGAAGGAAAAAGAATGAAGAAAGACTTGGGGAACTATCTGACTCCATGAAGAAACGAAATATAAGAGCTATAGGAATACCAGAAGGAGAGGAGAGAGATGTAGGAACAGAGAAAATATTCCAGGAGATAATTGAAGAGAACTTCCCAAATGTGAAGAAGGAGCTGAAAATTGATATACCAGAAGCAAAAAGAACACCAAACTTCCACGACAAAAGGAAAAATACAGCAAGCCACATAATAGTAAAGCTCCCAAGAATCTAGGACAAGGAAAAAAATAATGAAGCTGACAAGAGGGAAGAAACAGATAACATTCAAAGGAAAAACCAATCAGACTGACATCAGACATCTCCAAAGAAACACTCCGGGCAAGGAGAGAGTGGAGGGACATAGTCAACAGACTCCAAGAAAACAGATGCCAACCAAGAATACTCTATCCTGCAAAGCTCTCCTTCCTCTATGAAGAAAGAATAAGGACCTTCCCAGACAAATAGAAACTCCGGAATTTCATTATGACTAAACCCCCACACCAAAAAATACTACAAGTAATCCTAAAGCCAGAACCTCAGAGGGACAAATAACAACAAAAGAAGGCCAAAAAAAGTTATTAAAAGAATAAATAAATAAAATCAAAGGAAAGACAAACACAATGGCAAATACAGATGCTAACATATCAATATTAACTCTCAATGTAAATGGACTAAACTCTTCAATAAAAAGACACAGAGTTGCAGCCTGGATTAAGAAACAAAACCCAACCTTTTGCTGTCTCCAGGAAACACATCTAGCTACAAAAGATAAAAAATAGACTCAAAGTTAAAGGATGGAAAACTATCCTACAAGCAAATGGACCAAAAGAGAAAGCAGGAACAGCTATACTTATATCAGATAAAACAGATTTTAAACTCCAAAAGATAAAAACAGACCCCAATGGTCACTACATTATGATCAAGGGGACAATACTTCAAGAAGAAATAACACTCATTAACATACACTCACCAAACGAAGGAGCGCCAAAATATATTAAATAAATAAATAAATAAAGGCATTCAAGGCAATTTGGTAAAAAAAAAAAAAAATTGCCCTCCCTGGCAATTGGCCTGTACCCTGGTTCATGTATAAATAAATAAATATTTTTAAAAAATTAAATTAAAAATATACAATTTTGAGAAATATTTTCTCTAAAGGAATTAGTAAAAACAGTTTCTATATTTCATCAATAAAAATGTCTCAGTATTTTCACAGATAGAATAACTACTTTAAAAAAAATAACTACTTTTTAAAACTAATGCACATGACCAACATTTTAAAAAAAGAATAAAAAAATGTCCATTTCTATCACTGTCTAATGCCTTAGGAGTATTAGTTATAAATGACACCTATATTAAGTCTAATAAAAAACCCCAATTTTGAGATCAAGATTTAAGATTTTGGTAATCAAAAACTAGATCAAAACTTAATGGCTGAATTT